ATTATATGTCACATAGGGTATTATAATTAGGATCACCAACCCCAATAACTTGGCTCTTTTTATTAGGGACTATTGTCATTGCCCAATAAAACAAGAATTATCAAAATTAAGTGACTTTAGCCTACTTAGATAATTCTTAAAATTACATTCAAACCATATTTGAAATATGTTTTTATCAAATTTAATAAATAGTTGGATCTTCTAAATAAAGTATGTGTTTGGATAGGAGGAAAAATTGATTTTTTACCCCAAAATTAATTTTTTCAACCGATTTACCCAAACACTCAAAAAACCTCAAAAATCAATAGCTCCCTCCATCAGCTTTCTGCCAAAAGTTATTAAAAAAAATTACAAAGAAAGGGCCACAAAAAATTACAAATAAAGCACATAATTTAATTAAAAAAATCAAACTCTCTTCTCTTCTCTTTTTTTTTAATAAAATTCATATTTGTATCCTCAAAAAAGTAATATTGGTATTTAAGAATTAAATTATATATTAATTTATATAGCTAAAATTAATTCTGATTAAATTATCCAAATATCTTCAATTATATTAAAATTAATTTTAAAAAAATAGTATCTAAACAGATTGCGTTATAATATAATTAATTATGATTAAAATTTTTACTTAATTAATTATTTTTATAATTTATTATATCTAACTGAAATTTAAATGAGCACAAACTTATTAGATATAAACTGAAAACCAAACAAACATCCTAAATATAGTCACCATGTTATCATTTTCCCTTCAAACAAACTCTTTCACAAAGAATTAATCATAATTTTACCTGTCAAATATCTTTAAATGGGTTTTAAGCATCAATATAAAGTATTTTCAATAAAACAAGAATTATCAAAAATTAAGCCACCCTAAATATAGTCACCATGTTATCATTTTCCCTTCATGCAAACTTTTCACAAAGAATTGATTATAATTTTTCTTGTCAAATCCTTAAATGGGTTTTAAGCATCAATACAAAGTATTTTGTAAATAAAAAACATATGGTTTATAATGTGTAAATAATGTTTATAAAAAATCAAAATCATCTGTCAAAGATATCTGTAGAGTAGAGCGATTTTCTTTTCTTTTTCTTTTTATTATTTAAGGTCAACTACAAAATCAAGCGGGCAAATAGTAGTTGTTTAGGCTCCGTTTTGTTATTAAAAAGCAATAAAATAAAATGAATTAAAAAAATTAAGATAAAAATAAATTAAATCATCTTTTTTTATAAATATAATAAAATTCATTAATATTATACTACAAATGTGAAAATCATTATATCCTAAAAAAAATTCTCATGAATTATGATTCTCAACTCCATAAACTAAATTACCCATTTCTTTTATAAAAGTGTTCATCTATCCCTTTGATTATCTTTTTTTATTTTTATTATTTTTATTTTTATTTTTTAATCCATTTCATTTCATTTTTTTATAATAAGCAAACAGGATCTTAAGTTAATACAATTAAAAAGATATCAAAAATTACAATTTAAAGACTCGCACCCGATTATTCCATCCCTCTGGCATTTCTTCGAACCAATGAAAACGAAAGAACATTAGCAACTGAGTAATATCCTTCCAAAGCAAGAGAGATTCTGGATTTGCTTTGGATTTCCATGGCAGATTTATGATAAGCTTTGAGTCCTTAAAAACTAATGAAATATCAAAAACAAAAAAACAAAAAAAATCCTAGAGGGCCAAAATCTTCCAAATCAGTGATTCACTTAAATAGCAGATCTCAACTCTTTCAAAAGAAGGGCTAGTGGATCGCCTTTAGTTAGGTCAAATGGTTTCTTGTCATCCAAAAGCTTATGATTGTTGGTTGGATCCTTTGGAGGAGACCAATCTTAACTTCATCAAGCCAATAAGACATAATATTCATCACCGTGTCCATGTGTGTGTGTCTATATATAACAAAACCTTCACCAAAAAAAACATAATATTCATCACCGTATATATATTGAGTCCCATGAAGAGTGATTGCTAGGTGTTTCCTTTTCCTATATAGCAAGTGATGATTCCTAGCTTTGATCGTGTTCATAAAAGCATCATATATATATCAAGAAAGAGATAATATTACTAAGTAGTATATGGGAACACAGAAAGAGAATAATGAGATTTCAAAGTTTATGTATATATATTAATTTTAACTACTAAAATAACACTGAATCAGCAACAATGTAATTTTTAGTCGGATGATTCAACAAGGCCAGAACTCAGCCCTTTTGACCTTTGAGATGCTCTCAAGAACTCCCACAGGAGATATGTGCCCCATCACTGTCACCCTCTTCGTCTCCAAGTCAATGCTGAATGATGTCACCCCTTATCCATACATGTATATACACACACAAAATGTTATTATTCATTAGCAAAGCTCCATAAGTAGAGTATAAGTAACATCAAATTTTGATTCACCTCAAAATGTAAACAAAAATTAAGAAAAAAAATTTCATGCTAGGAGCTAGATAGAATTGGTTTATAAACAAAATAATATAAGTAAAAATAATCATAAACATAATCCTTAAAATTTTGCGTTGAAATGTTGTATCAACTCACTTTTATATTTTCGTTCAATCTTTTTTAATTTTTTTTTTCACAATCCAGTAGAGTTCTTGGAGGAAAGGTAAACTTTAATCCATAAATTTAAACCAAATGACATTCTAATTTGGTCCAGCCAAGTGAGGGAATGGATATCTAAAAAAAAAAATCATATACTCCCTCCGTTAAAAAATGTAAGGCATTTTTAACTGAATCTCACCCTCAATAAAGTAATTACCTACTTTTTAACTAACTCTATTTTTTTATATTTATCCCTATTAAACACCTTATAATAAATATAGAGTCATTATCGATAGAGATATTTTTAAAAAAAGGCAATAATTACATCTCGAAAGACTAAAAATACTTTACATTTTTGAACATCTAACTCCTCAAAAAATATTTTACATTTTTGAACTAAAGGAGTATAATTTTACCATAAACAGATTTTAATTATATTTATATTTATATATAACATATCAATTCGATTAAAAAAATGTACCATGATTTATAAGTTTTGGGCATTATTAACCTGCCTCACTCAATGCAGATCACATGACCATAGTTTTGGTTACATTTATTTCTTTTTTTTTCTTTTTACCAACAGCTACATTTATTTCAATTTAGGAAATGAAATATATATATATATATATATTTTTTTTATTGTTTTGTCAGAAGGAGTGAGTAAAAGAGTTTGATAAGAGTCAAACACAAAAGGTCTTGTTCAGTCAAAAAGTCGTGCGTGTGATGTGGTAACACAATTGGGGAGGTACACCACGCCATCCATTATTGGTTGAGGTTGTGTTAAATATAAATTAATTTTTATATTAATAATAATAGAAAGAGAAAAGAGAAGAAATTAAATAAGTATTTTATTATAAAATAAAATTATTAAAAATAAAAATATATAATATTTTATTTGATTGCATTTGGTGCAATTTGATTGGATGATACATGGATGACATGATACATCGAATCTATATAAAAATTTCTTTTCATGTATTTGCTACTTTCAATCTTGCGGTGAAAATGAGTTAGATTCAATTACGTTTTGATTAAATAAGCTTGAACTTATATAGTATATCAGAAGTTTAGGCTTAACCTGAAGCTTATATAATGCCTTTTTTACAGTTCAAGCCTAAGTTTACTTAAAGCATGACTTGATTTGGAAGCCTATTTAAAAACCTACATAAAAGTATATATTTTAAATAGGCTTACATAAACTTTAAAAGTCTCATATAAGTTGTAGGATTATTAAAGATTATATATATACAACCTAATGTACCAACTAAAATGCATAATAAGTAAGAAAACTTACGAGCTACAACACAATAACAAAATTAAAATCAATACATGTGTAAGCCTAATCTAATTGAAAATATAATCAAGAAACTAGAAATGAAAAAGAACACATTGATTAAAAAGAAAAATGTTAAACTGACATATCATAAATTCACCATACAAAATATAATAAAAAAGAAAATAGTCAAGAAAAAAACTATCCAATGCTTTCAAATTTTGATTTAAAAAAAAAGAATGAAAAGGGGCTAAAGAAATGGGTGAAGTTGATTCTATCTAAATTTCTAAATTAAATATTATATATTATAGTATTATATATACATAATATATTATATAATAATATGCATGTAAATAGATTGACCTATAAAGCTTATAGGTTAGGCCTTATAAAAATAGGCCTAGCCCATTTGTATAAATAAAACTAATCAAAGGTTTAAATTTGGTTTAGCTTATTTAGTAAATAAATTAAGCTTGATTCAAAATAGGTTCTTAGCCTATAAACCTTTTAGTAGTGGCCTGATGTACTTTTACCCTTATTTCAATCTCACTTCCAAAATTACATCATTGCATTTCAATTCATTAATTTCTAATGAACAAAAATAAATGGCTGTGATGTTAGTATTAGAGGTAGTTGAGAAGGCATGCCAATCTAATCCAATATAATAATACAATATTCTACCTATATCTTAATATAAGATAAAGTTAATCAACCTCAAATTTATTAAAAATAATAGTTATATCTTTAAAATTATTAAAAAAATGTAACTTTTCAATTTTATTCTTCTTTTTAATTAATAATTATAATAAATAAAATAAATTAGAAAAGAAATTAATTATTCTAACTTTTTCTCATATCCTAAAAAAAAACTCTTAAACTTGGTAGGAGGCAGTATGCATATATATATGTGTGTGTGTGTGTGTTTGTTTATTTTTTTTATAATATATATGTATATATATTTTTCAATGCAACGGTCATTATAATATTGGCACTGGTAACGCTAATTAATTTATTGATTGATTAAACAGAACATTAGGGTGCAAAAAGTTCGAAGAATATTGCATAAAAATAGATAGATGAGGATGATGATTACCTTCCATCTTAGAGAGATGCTTTTTGACTTTGCCAGCGCATCCTTGACAATGAAGAGCCACCTTCATCACAACCACCTGCAAAAACAACAATCATTCAATATTCCTCATCACTTCACTGAAACCCACAACTCTGTTATCAACCATCTTCTTCTTCAATCAAATCCCTCTGCATCTTCTTCTTGCAATTGAACTCAAAAATTGAAGATATCCTTGTTTTTATTTGTTAGGAAGAGAGAGAGAGAGAGAGATGATAGGGTACATGAATAAAATAGAAGTTTCACACAATCATTTTGCGTTCCGTGAGGAATATTCATGGGGAAGGGTCAAGGGTAAAGGCACGTGAAAGATCTTGGAACTTGACAAAACTGCGCGATACAGACAAATTATGGAGAATCCTTGTCTTCTTCCTCGCTCCACCTGTGATTTATCTGGTATAGTCCTAATCCTTTTGATCTAATAGTAATAACAAGTCATTGATGAAGGAGAAAAGGGGATTGTTTTCTTCCTTCAGTCCACTTGATCTTGCCCTGCTTTTTAATTTGGGATCCCGACTTTGATCACTTTCTTGAGAATCATCGGACAAAAAGTGCAGCTATGTTATAGCATATTGGCAGTTCTTTAATAAAACTGAATTGAAAACTTGATCCGATATAGTAGAATACCGAGCGTGCATTAATTACAATGAGCAAGAGAAACAAGAGAATCTCCATAAATATGTAATAACTTAGCTGACCTGAAAGACTTGATCTGTAGGTGTTTGATGAAATAGCCTTGGCGCTTTCTCTTGATCTAGACTTCGCTCCCTCTTCTGCTTGATCTTTGGTACAGGAACAGACAGTGCTTTCTTATCAGCAGGCTCGAACCGGCGAGGCTCAATGAGTTTGGAGTACTTGGGGTAGTTGATGAGTCTGGTATCATCTAGAAAAATGCTTCTGTCAGGCCTTCTAGGCACTACCACCGACCGATGGTCGCCGGTGCTCATGCACACCGCCGTTGATGCCTGAGAGTGGCACATGAAACCCCTCCTCATTTTCCTGTTAGTGCTCTTCAGGCTCATGATAACGTCCCAGAGAGATACAGATAGAGAGCCTCTAAAGGAGAAGATGAATAGGCGAAATGGTGAACAGAAGGTGTAGACTTATATCACAAGTTTTTTGAAGGTAACAAAAGTGGGTCTATTATGAAAATATGGTTTTTATTTAATCTAATGCAAACATGATGGTTCTTACTTCTTAACTGAGAAACAGTAGGAGAAAATGACAAGATGATAGGAGAGACATGCTGTCATTATGACTTAGCTAACAATGGGTTCACTGGCAGTGTAGAATCCTTTTGTCATTATATGTATTCTGCATATGCCTATGATCTGAATGGATCCAAGATCCTGTCCTTTTCAGTTGTTAATGCTGCAAAATTGGCAACGACCCTTTTTTCCATGAATATTAGGGATATTTTATTAAACGGTTGTTTCACTGGGGGTGAAAATAAGAGGAAACCAGAATGAACACCCTACGCTAGTTTCTTCTCCGTAACCTTATTTGTAGGTGTAGTCATTTTCTTTTGCTTTCTCAGAGAAGTTGGCCACATAGTGAAAAACTGAAGGCGTAGTTGGAAATACATTGAATGGTCAAAAGAGTTTTAGGCGCAGAAAGGGATTAGAACAGTAAAACCAATGAGCGGAAGATGCAGACTGAGTTTGCAAATGTTGAGTCTTTCATAAACAGAGCTGGAAATGCTGACAGCTAACTCTTCACGGTTACATGGCCTAAAGAGTGAATGGGTAGAAAGAAAATATTCTCTTTTTATGGCAAAGCCTACACCAAATTTACCTCCCTTGTTTTAGAAGGAAACAGAGTGATTCCTTTTTAAAAACACGTGAAGTTTATTCAGACTGAGAGAGCTTTTATTGTATTTAAGTGGGTTCTTAGCCAATAACATGGTGAACTCCGCTTCTGAAAGCGCTCGAAAAAGAAGACTCTTTCTTGTTAACCCAAAGTTAAATCCTTAGAGTATCATGTAGCTCGTCAAGATGGCATGAAGTTCACAACAGTGAAATTAGGAGAGAGAAAGTGATGGGTCCCAAACTATTGGATTTCACTCTCCTCTTTTCATAACTTAATCTGAAAGCTCACTTTAGGTGATCATGATTTTTATGTGAAAACAAACATATAAGTATGTTCTGAGTTTAGATCTTCCTAGTTTCTCATTGAAATAATAGTGCCAATTTGTGAAATAAGTAAACATAAAATATATAGGATCGATTTCTATGATTTTTTTTTAATAAGCTTTCGATGATGATTTTTATTTGAATGTGTAAGATTTACTTCAATGAAAGATGATATATTATGTGTTTATTTTTCTCCAACATTATCAGGTTCACTGCTCTGGTGTATGGTCGTAGCTGGTGAAACAGAAACAGAGCTAGTTACTAGTTAGGACCAATGGCATTATATTTTGATCATGCATGAAGTAACAGATATATGAAGCATTCATGGGGGTAGGAGATAATGACAAAGGTAAGGTCATAATCAAGTAATATCGTATATTTTATTTTAATTCTGAATTTATTACCCATACTTAACCATATTTAATATTTATCTCCCCAAGGCAATATTCTTGTCAAGAAGTATAAAGGTCAATGCTTCAGAAAAGGCAACATTTCAGAAAGGTGGCTACCAAATTATAATCATAATTATAATTATTTCAAAGTTTTTACTTAGCTTTAAAAATGTGAATGCCAGATTTTTAAAAAGTTAGAGTTTGAGAACTTTGATACGAAATTTCTTTAAAGTTTGTTGTAATTTTTTAAAACCTGAGATTAAACTTAGTAATAACTTAAATTCTTATAAATAACTATAATGAGCCTATTTGGCAACCTGTTTGAAAATAATTTTTTATTCTTAGAACAAAAAAACAAAAAAAAAATCTGTTTGGTAATGTATTTTTAAAAAGTATTTTAAAAAATAAAAAAATAAAATATTATTCTAAAGAATAAAAAAATAAAAATAACTTTCAAATGTTTTTGAATTATTGTTTTGAAAAATAAGAGAGGATGGTAAAAAGACTTATTTTCATTAATTTTTTTTTTGTTCTCAAAATATATTTTATAAAACACCAATTCTTAGAACAATAAAATAAATACACTTTCAAATAGCCCCAATATAATCTTTAGATTCTTTAATGGACACATTTTAAAATTTTGGTCCTTAATTTTCCCAAGTTGTTTTGTGCCAGTTGCTATGAAGGGGTAGCATTAGCCCAGAAAATGCCAATATTATTTTTTTTCCTTTTTGCATTTTTCTGAATTAGTTTATCATTAATTAATAACGAAGAACAATCCCACATAATAAAATCAATTAAGAGTAAAATTATCAGTTCCGAATGATGATTGTACAGTATGCAAAACATCAGATTTAGGGTAAATGAAGTAGTACCGATAGGAAACTAAGCATGGTGCTCTGATTCTGAACTGAACATCAGATTCAGAGGCAGGCTATGAAGAATGATTTTCTGGGGAAAAAAAAATTGACTTGTACCTATATCAAATATGTAGCTGATATATGGCATCTATATTGCTGACTTCTTTTTTTCTTTTTTCTTTTTAATAAGTTTTGAAATGCACAAGGTACATAATAATTATAAAATTTATGGAGAATCTCAATGATATACAAAGAGATGAACATTGAAGTTTATATATTTCATATAAACGTTTATTTATCTGTTATTAATGATTTGGTGAACTTTATACAATGATGAGGGCAATGAACAGTGAGTGCAATAAGTACTGGAGCAGCAGCACTAATAGTGCATAACTACTTTTACAGAAGAACACCATGTGAAGTTATTAATGGGCTTCAGTCTCTTAATTCCTTCTTCTGCACCTTCTGCTTTTCAAAAGATGTTAAATCTTAGGACCACCATAAAACCTTTAAGGTTGACCTTATCCTTCAACCAAATACAGATAATCCAACCCCACCCCCCTCCCCCCCAAAAAAAAAAAAAAAAACAACACACACACACACACACACAGACTTATCCATCAACGAAATACAGAGAAACCACAAACACACACACATACACAGAGTTTTTAGTCAATGAGGACCACCATAGCACTATATCAACCCCTTGTGCAAGTTGCTGCAGGAACTTTTTGCTGTGACCTAGAAATCCAGCATTTCAGTTGAAGTACAGCACTAGACTTTAATGCAGCACCCGCTTTCTATATTGTGTCCTTAACTTTGATCAGGATTCAAGAACCTCCATACTGAAGCTTCGACTAGGTCTAGATCGCAGGTAAGAGATTTGGAAAGGAAGATCTGGAAATGCAAGGCTATAGATATAGCCACAACATCATTCAGGTGGAGAGGTGTTGGATACAAGCTATCATTCTTCTGGCACAAGTCAAGGGCTTGACATGTCATGATTAGATTTAGCCTAGAAGAAGAAAAACTCCTCCTTATATAGGAGTTATGAAAATTATTGATGCTTGCGTAAAGTAGAGAGGATTTGATCTAATATGGTCTTGTATTTGAATCTTTTAAATTGGAAAAGATTTCATGTTGGGAGAGTCATCCTCATTTAGAGTCAGAGAGCCTAACGATACTTGAATATGGATAATATTAATGTCACAAAAAATGAAAACGGACTATGAAATGTTCTCTGGGGTTATTATTGTAGGATATTTTTAATCGTTTCATATATATTAAAAAAATTAATTTTTTTCTTGATATAATAAAAAAGTACGATGTGCTTTTATTTTTACCCTTGACTTTTAAATAATAATACAAATATATTAAATATCTTCATATTAATTAAGAAGGAATAAAATTGAAAAAAAAATTTACTTATTGCAAGATGTCTTATATTTTGAATAAAAAATTTCTTGTAAAAGGTGTCTTACAAATAGGATCGAAGGCAGTAATATTTAATGCCAAATTTTTTTGTCAAAAAATCTATTGCAAATTTATTGTTGCAATTTTCATTCCCAATGATCTTTCTTCAAATGCGTGATCATGTGTTTATAAAAAAACTTGATAGGTTTCTCCATACATTGTATGAGATATGATAAATGAGCCACATAAATAATAATATATGGATGGTGTAACTTTTTATAATTTTTATAATACATATTGACCTGAATTGAATTGATTCACATTTTTTGCAATCACAAAAGCTTTCTGTTGTCTTTTTTTTTTTTAAGTAATCAATTTAAACACAACTCACACCCAGATGCCAAAGCATGATTTGAACCTTGGATCTCATGTGTTGTAGAGAGATGACATTGTTACTGAGGCAACTTGCCATTAGTAAAAATAAGTTTTATGTTGTCAATAGAAAATATTGGATGAGATAAATTTCTCCTTGTTTGGTAAACTGGATCTGGGTAGGAACATGAGAAATCTCTTAATTATTGGTCCTAAGAAAATATAGGATGATCTAAATTTCTCCTAGTTTGAGAATCTTGTTTCGTAAACTGGATCTGCGTAGGGGCATGAGATATCTCTTAATTATTGGTCCCAAGTTCTACAAATAAATGTAAAATATGTTGGCACTATTAGGTAAAAATACAGTCTAAGTCGTGCTCAAGAATATTGTCCTTAAGAGCTATTCTGCCATACTGAGTTAATTGCACGGCAGATCCTTAGGATTAAACAGACTCTTCCTACTAAAAGTAAGGACAAAGAACAATAGAGACTAGCATAATATTCAATCAGCACAACACATAGAGGAGAAGCTTTAAAACTCTAGAGCCAAGCTCTAAATACACTACATTCCCCGGGCTATATATAGGCACAGTCTAGATGAAGCCTTAAAGCATGATTTAATTGAGAGTTTCATAAATATAATGACGAGTTTCATAAACATAATGACACATTGTTATAATGAAGATAATTGATTCTAGCATTTTGAACGTTTGCCACTTGAAGAAAATTGCAAAACCGATTTCAAGCTTTAATTGGAAAAAATGTCTAGTTAAAGCACATTAACAAATCCAAGGATAATGAATTTAGACTTGAAACGTGCAAAGCAAAGTTTTGGGAAAAAGCATTTACAAAAATTAATTCAATAACCTTTGTAAAAAATAAAGTTGATAAAAGAACCTAGTGCCTCTTTGACTTGTAAGCCCACTGCTCCTCTAAGCCCATTCATTAGCCCATTTTCATTCCTTAGCATATATACACCAGGAGCTCTCCTCATGTGGGCAATATGGGACTTCTTCTTTTGACACACACACAATAACTATAACAATCCCCCACATGTGTTAAAAGGACCATTATCATCTGAGTTATTTACATGGAAAATAATCACTTCGAATTTGGTGTCCTTCAACTTGAACCAAACCTAGACTAATAAAACTTAATACATAGAAAAGTCAGTGTAACTTTGTTATTGAACTAACAGATCTTGGGTGTGTACTAGAGGTGTTATTAATCGGATTATACCCCCACAGTCTCTGCTGTTAACAACGGTTTTGCACATTTTCGGCCATGCGCGTGCCTGGTTTTAACAAATGCTCTAAAGATTTTGCCACAATCTCATAAAAGCCGCCCCACTCCACATTCGTATAGGTGTTTTCATCAAGTGTATCTGCAATGAATACATCATCCATAAGGACTATGAAAAACATTAAGAGCTTTCGCTCAGCCTCTGATCAATGCATTCTAGCACTTTCTCAGGCCATAGGAAGGGACAAAAAATTCAGTGCTAGCAGAACTAACAAGTGACTTGTTTTTACCCATTGAACCTTCTTCATGGGATCTCCAATCACAAAGGTTGGGTTGCCATCACTGTTAATTTCAAACAGGCTTGAGTCCCATTCCCCTCAACATTTCAATAATAGATTTCTTCCCTAAGGGCTTAGTTAATGGATCCATCATATTTACATCTGATCTCACATAATCGATTGAGATAACTTCCCCTTTTAACATGCTTAATTGTATCTCAAACGATATTTATATATGCCATTGTTCTCTTTACGAATGGCTATTACCATGTGGCAATCACAAATCATCGACATGGCTTGTGTCGGTTTTACTCATAGTAGAATATTCACTGAGAAGTTTCTCAACTACTCAGCCTCATTGTTAGCCAACTTTAGAGTAATAAACTCTAGCTCAAATAACATTTTTTTTTGGCTACCAATAGATTTTTCTCCACCTGAATTTAAATTCAGTTAACATTATTGTATTATCTTCATACAATGGAAATCTATTATACATGATATCAACATTTATGGTATCCCTTAAATACTCTTTTGTCTCATGCTTTTATGAGACTTAATCTCCATGCAACGTATGTTATGGGATTAAGACTTATTAATGCAACAAACTCACAAATTTGTGCATCCACAAATTGAGCAACAAAAATATATCATTTTTTTAAATGATATATCAACCTCATAAGAATTCATTGACACTACGTGTCAGTTTTACACAACAAAATAATTGCTTAGATGATCTCTAGCAACTTAGCCTCCAATCCAGTTTCAAATTAATTAGCTTGGACTCTACTATGGTCCTATCATTATATTTTGATCTCATCACTATCGAGAGTGGATAATCACTAGTGGATTTTCTCACACAAATTTATAACTCAGTAAACATGCATCCACGTATTTTATGCAATGGAAATCCACTATTCTCAATTCCATAATTTAAAAATAATTAGTTATCTCATGGGATTATAATACAAATAAACAAATCATTATTCATGATAATGAATATTTGTGTCAAAATAATTAAATAAGTCATGTACCTATTTTTTTAAATATATTTATTTACACTAGATAAATGATTAAATTTATACCATTATCACAACGCTTGTTGCAAGCCACACAAAGTGATAAATCACAATTTTTGCATTTATGCAAATAATAAAGCCTCCATATAATATTTCCTCTAAATCACAATGTAGAACTATCTTGGCATTTATAAAATGAGGCTAACCACATGGCACAACACAATTTTTAGAATAAAGCAAAATAATTTTGCTAGACACCCCCACATTTTCAAACATATTTCAACCACATGTATGAAAGATATTTAAATATTTTCCATAACTTATCAATAATAATTCTAATTAAATTAGAATGTCATTATATAATCTTCTCCCATTCTAATTAAATTAGAATTTCTCATAAATTTTAAATCCACCATAAATATAATATCCCATGCACATACTCCCACAATATGGATAAATCAGCCGCAAAGCCTTCTTACATTTCCAATAATATCAACAAATAAAATGTTGAAACACTATATACATATCACACATTAGACTAATACTTCCAGAACCTCGTCAAAATATATGTAAGCTCTTCAATGACAATTTGAGATGCCAATTCCAGCATTAAAAATAGACTCCAAGTCCATTTAACGACAACAATTACATCCCAAGAAATAAAAAACTCAGAAAATCACAAATTGGATTTCACTTGGATTTAGAACAACCATAAACTGATTAAGCTTAGCAATCCAGCAAATTAAATATCAATCTACCCAAGAGGGAAAATCATGTGCATAAACTGGGTTTCATATTCTTTTTCCCAATTGTGATTAATCACAATTATGACACTCATAGTCATAAAATACATCACAAAATTATATGCAAAAGTTTTCACAAATAGAACTTTTCAAATCTATTAAAGCAGAATTTCACGTAATTGTAAAATTCACCATAAATATATCAAGGCATGCATATAGCCCCACACTTTGGATAGTAATTTGTGAATTTTGATCAAGAAAATATTTTTTGGGCAACATCCAAAAAGAAGTGCAATCTAGGCACCATGTCAATTCTCATAAATTTACTACACATTGGCACCAAAATGTTGTTGCTTAATGCGCAAAATATTATCTAGCATTGAACTATAAGATAACAATTATGCTTTAGACGACACCAATAAGTGCAGGAAATTATTGTATTATGTAACCACTTTATAATAATTCATTCGCATAATTACAACTATTTAATTCACTGAAAATTGTTTCCATCTCTTGGCATGTACTAAGTATACTATCATAGAAAATAGCAACTTCTGCCAATTAAACAAAGCATCAAAATTTAATCCCAATTTTTTCACATAACTGTCAATCAAATTATTTAAATATAATAAATTATCATTATTGCAATTTATGAACCATTGCTTCAAAAAAAAAAAATTCCAGCCATATATTCCAACTCTTATTATGGGCCTAAAAACATACCCAATTGTTATTCAAACGCAAGGCATTTATATTTTTGAGAAGCAGAGGATAATCTTTTAAAAACTATTTAATATGCAATCTTCAATTTTAAAATGAATGTAATATCAAAGCCTCCGGCTTTGCAACGGTGTAAAAATGATCACAATAAACCAGTAAAATGGTGGGTCATGCTTAAAAATATTCTCTACATCTAGAGACATTTTGAATGCTGCAGAAATAAAGGGCAATGTAAAAAGTTTTACCTAAAGTTAATAGCTCTTAAGATTGTTGGCACTACTAGGTAAAAATACAGTCTGAATCGTGCTCAAGGACATTTTCCTTAAGAGCTATTCCGCCATACTGGGTTAATTGCGTGGCAGCTCTCCAGGATTAAACAGACTCTTCCTACTAAAAGTAAGGACAAAGAACAATAGAGACTAGCATAATATTCAGTCAGCACAACACATAGAGGAGAAGCTTTAGAACTCTAGAGCCAAGCTCTAAATACACTACATTTCCCGGGCTATATATAGGCACAGTCTAGATGAAGCCTTAAAGCATGATTTAATTGAGAGTTTCATAAACATAATGACACATTGTTATAATGAAGATAATTGATTCCAGCATTTTGAACGTTTGCCACTTGAAGAAAATTGCAAAACTGATTTCAAGCTTTAATTGGAAAAAATGTCTAGTTAAAGCACATTAACAAATCCAAGGATAATGAATTTAGACTTGAAACGTGCAAAGCAAAGTTTTGGGAAAAAGCATTTACAAAAATTAATTCAATAACCTTTGTAAAAAATAAAGTTGATAAAAGAACCTAGTGCCTTTTTGACTTGTAAGTCCACTGCTCCTCTAAACTCATTCACTAGCCCATTTTCATTCCTTAGCATATATACACCAGGAGCTCTCCTCATGTGGGCAATATGGAACTTCTTCTTTTGACACACACACAATAACTATAACAAAATAATGAGGTGAATTAAGTCCCTAGTCTTGTGTTCGTATGAAAAGGTCATAATTTTGGAATCTAGACAAGGGTCTGGATTTGGTGAGCACGGACTTCACTGCTGCCGTCGGTCTGATCTTGCAAGTGTGTGTGTTCAGCTTCATCCCCTTGCATTGTTGATTTTACAGGACATCGGGATCATGATCCAACGTCATTGGCAAGGAAAGCTTGCTGTTTCGGTGAATCCGCTTGTTTGGTTTCATGGAATAAGTAGAAGATGGAATGGAAGAAGCTGTCACATCAGCGAGATGCTCGTGTTTGGTTTGAATGAAACGGTAATTTGGACCAAGATCGATTGGGGCCAACTCGAACTTGTCCAAAAAATTTAGGCCCAAACTTAAAATAATAATTTTTTTATCGTTCGAGTCTATTTGGGCCGCACGAATAGGCCCGAGAAAATTCGGGCCAAGCCTGAACTCCAAATAGAAAAAAATAAATTTTTAAAAATATATATAATATAATAAATATTAATTTTTTTAAAGTTTTATATTATTTTATTCTAAAATATTATATATTTAAGTGTATTACTATAGTTATTTAAAAAAAATAAAAATATTTATATTTTATTATTTTTATTATTTTTAATCAAATAAAATATCTCAAAATAATAATTAAAATATATTTTAATATTTATTTTTATATTTTAAGACTCAATATTTTTCAAAAAAAAAATTGAGTCATATACACCATTTTCTTATCCAAAAATTATATATTATATTTTTATAAAATAAAATCATTAATTTTAAATTAAAAATAATTTTAAAAATAAAATTTAGGCTTGTACAAATTCCTGGCTCTACTACTAAATAAATATAATAAATAAAATAATATTTTTGAATAATTATTTAATTATTATCTATGACAGACTTGGTTAAAAATTAAGAATGAACTAAAGTAAATATCTTTTGTATATAGGGCTTAAACAATATAAAAGGTTAAAAAAATTAAAAAAATAGTATTTTATCCATAATTAAATGATTTTCTTATATAATAGAATGATGGCTATTTTTCTCATATTCTTAAAAATAAAAAATATAATTTATCCAATAGTTATTAAAAACTTTGAGCTAATTAGGACAATAAATTTAAATTAGTGGTTTAATCTTAGTTGAATTGAGATTAACTTAATTTTAGTTAAAATGATATAATTCAATTAAAATTTATAAATATTTTTATATAACCATAATAAGGGCAATATTTAAATAAATAAGACATTAATTTATAAGTAAAGGAAACATTTATGAATAAATTACATATAATACAATAAAATAGTAACAGAGTTACTTAAGTACTTAACTACAAAGTTAATAAGTTATTATTCTTTATTCCTTTCAAGTTAAAATAATATTTTATACTTAATAAAATTATTTAAAAATTAACATTGATTAAAAAATAAAGAAAAAATATTTTAAAAATTTTTTTGGGTATTCAGGCCGGTCCAAATAAGTCAGAAGCCCGAAGCCGTTAGGGCCAAGTTTGGTTATATGGGCTTTTTAAAATGAGTAAAATTTTTTAAGCCCGATCCAAATAAGCCTGGCCCGAATTAAGCTTGACCAGAATAAGCTCGGCCCACTCAAATTACCGACCCTAAATGAAACCCATTAGCCATTGCTTCTATTGCCTTCAACCATTCCCTTGTGTTTTATCAATGGAAATTGGGCCGGCAAGGACTGGGGAATAAGTATGAAAAGTCAGATTTGCCCTTTAAAAGCAATTTTATTCAAGCTCATATTTTAATATTAAGGGAAATTTTGTTATTTATACATTAATCATTTTTAACTATTTCATTGGAACAATAGTTAATTTATTAAAATTTTCTGAAAGAGAAAGAAATTTATCAGTTTATTTTTATTAAATGTATCATTTTTAAAAAACATTTTCTTTCTCATATATAACCTTTTATTCTACTCATAGAAAATTGTGAAAATGTAAAATTAGAAGAAAGAAATTAATATTCATTTTTTATGCAAAGTGATTTATAAAAAGAACCACAAATTTCTTTTAAAAGATGTCTTATATATAAAATCAAAGTGAGTATTCTATTCTATATTCCTATCCTTATCTACAACATACCAAACAAAGTGATAAGTAATACTTCATCTGGACTATAATATACTCCTCCATTTTACTTTATTAGTCATTTTTATCAACTTTATCATGACCGATGTAAAAAAAAACTAAAATAAATATGTGTGTAAAATTTCAAATATACTTCTATATAATAAATTTAAAAAGTGATGTTATATTACTTTTTTTTTCATACAGAGTAATTTTAAAAATATCTTTTAAATATTATTTAAAAAGGCCGTATTATAATTTATAAATGAGATTAAATAAACCTTCTAACATGTACTTATAAATAAAATCAGAGGGAGTATGATTGTTTTTTTTTGAAGTAATGCATTGGGAAGATGCTTTGTATTTGGGCTTTTTCAGCCGGAGAGGATTTGGGCTTTTTATACATCAACGAGTCGATGGCGCCAAAAAACAAAAGGGTAATAGATTGCAAGCATCATCAACGTCTATCTATTTTTTTAATAATAAAAGCCAAAAATATAGGACTGGGAGTAGGACATTTTTTAAAAGTTTTGTTTGGATCAAAATATAAAATATTAAATAATTTTTATAATTATTTGAATTGCATTGACTATTAGGAAAATTATTTTTTAGCCAATGTTAATATAATTATTTTTTCTTAATTATTAAAATTAAATCTATTTTTTATTTATTATCTGAATATATATTTTTAATTGATATATAAAAAAATCTCAATAGACATTAACGCGTTGATGGCGCCCAGAAAAAAAAAAGTTTTAATAAATCGGAAGCATTGTCAACGTCTGTCTAATATTTTTAATAATAAAAAACCCAAATCCTCTTCGGCCCAAAAAAAATAAAAAATAAAAACAAACAAACAAAACAAAAGCGTCCCCAAAACGCTACATGCTTTTGCCGTTCTGCGCTCTCTCCAATCTACGAAGAGCGATTCATTTCTCTTGCGGACCAAGATTTTGTCGGAGGAAATTGAGCGAGTCTCTCTGAATCGGATGCTCAATGTCGAACTTCTTGGCGACCACTACAAATCCAAATCCCAACAAGTCCTTTGAGGTATTCGGAATTCACACGCCTCCATTTCCAATGTTTGTTGTTGCTTTAAACGTTTGGTCTTTGCTCTGTCAGACTGTCACTGATAATCTCCGAGTGTTATGTAATGTTATATAATGCAAGTTCTTGTTTTCTTTATTTGGGAATTTTTCAGGTGACTCAACCTCCTAATGATTCTGTCTCGAGTCTTAGCTTCAGTCCCAAAGCCAACTTTCTCGTAGCCACTTCATGGGATAGCCAGGTTGGTTGGTTGGTTGGTTTGTTTATTTGTTTGTTTGTTTTTTTTTCCATTTCCTCTCTGGGCTTGATTAGTTGCTTGTAATTGTCCCGAGCTTTTATTAACGTCCATGCTCTACATCTTGGAAGGTTTTGCTTTTAGAGTCCGGAGAGAATGCATTATTTGGTTATGTAATTATGCTAGAAAATTTCTGTTCCAGGAAGTTATAACAAATTCCTTAACTTCCTCCGCAGGTTCGATGTTGGGAGGTAGTACGAAATGGTGTAAATGTTGCCAGTGTGCCCAAGGCATCTATATCACATGACCAGCCGGTAAAATTTAGTTTTACTTCGATTATTGTCACCGTATAGTTTGTTTATTTATGTTGTTTAATTTCAATTCTCACCTCCGTGTAAGATGTCCGATTCAATAACATTGACTAGAACACCATAATGGGCTAATTGCTAGGATGCAAATGATCCTCACTTTCTTAAATTGGATAGTTAGATCTTTCATGCGCAATTTTTGTGGGGCGATGGTTTTTCTTCATAGCAATTGATGATTCTGCAGATTTCCAAAAAAAAAAAAAAAAGAAAAAAGAAAAAGGAAGAAGAAGAAGAGAGAATGATTGATCCTTCAGTCTGCACATTTGATAAGCTTCGTGCTATCTTGAGTTAGGGAGGTGCGATCTATACCGGTAAAGGCAGTCTACAGATGTTAGGCGTTATTACGATGCTGAGCATCACTTTAGATGTTCAAGTGTTTATTTGATGTCAGTAATTAATCATTATATGAATGACTTGCTTAAGTTGACGTATTGCTAAATTTCTTATGATCTTATTTTTCTTAAGCTAAGATTGTTGTCTATACGGTTCATAATGCATATCTTTTTTTTTTTCTCTTTTTTGTGTGGATAAATAATGTATATCTTCATGTATAGGTTTTATGTTCAACTTGGAAGGATGATGGCACAACCGTCTTCTCTGGTGGTTGTGATAAGCAAGTGAAGATGTGGCCATTGTTGTCTGGAGGCCAACCAATGACTGTTGCTATGCATGATGCACCAATCAAAGAAGTTGCTTGGATTCCTGAGATGAGCCTATTAGTAACTGGAAGCTGGGACAGGACTATGAGGTAAGGCATTATCATTTTTTGTTCCATTTTGTTTGTATGTGTAGTTTGACATTACAGGCCTGATTGGGTAACCCTCAAAAGCACATTCAAACCATATCGAGGATGTGCTTTTGTCAAATCTAACAAATAGTTGGATCTCTTAATTGTGCTTTGCCAAATGTAAATTGAAAACAAAACACACACTACATAGTCTACATCTTATAGTAGTATTTACCATTGTGGATTGCAGATTGTGGTGTATGAATGTATGTTTTAACATTTTGAACATTTACAACCCTTTGCCAATCCTACCTCTTTTTTATGATCTGCATGATGCCATCAAATTCAGATATGATGATCGTCGATATGGCTGTTATTACTGTTAATGAACTTCTCACAATTTTTTGAACACTTTGCATGTATGTCATTAGTTGAAATAATTTTTTTTCAATGGACATTAGTTGAAATATTTATTATCCATTTGTATTTCTTGTTTAGTCGGGGCCATAATTGTTGTTTGACTGCTAGCTATTTGTTGTTATGCATGATCTGATGCATCTGTGGTTTCCACATGATAAATTTTTCCTGGCTTTTACTAGGTATTGGGATACTAGGCAGTCAAATCCAGTGCATACACAACAACTCCCAGAACGATGTTATGCAATGACAGTGAGACATCCTCTGATGGTTGTTGGGACTGCTGATAGAAATCTAATTGTTTACAACTTGCATAATCCTCAGGTACTTGATTCTCCTCTTCTTGAGTGCTTTCTCCATGATGATGAGACTGTATGAAGTTCATACTTGATAAGAAGTTGGTTTGCAGATTTATTGAGAAGAGACAGGAACAGTGAGCATGAGAAATAATTTGAAAGAATAAGAAAAGAAGAAAATGATAATCAAAGAAAATAAGACAAAAACCATTAGAATAAAAGCTCTCTGATCTCTCTAAATCTGTAATGAATACCAATTAAATTGTCCATTAGGCCGCACAAATTATGCATATCTGTCCTGCAGACTTTTATTTGACTGTTAAAAAGTGTAGCCATTCCTTTCTGTCAAAATGCATCAATTTAAAGAAAGATATACTTCATAAAATGTTGCCCTTCTTCATCTTGCTAGTTTGTGAAGTTAGGCTTACCTCCCTGATTTGCTAAACCAGCCAGATGGTTGTCATGGGGCTGGGGAACTGTTGAAGATGTACAATTCTTCCTTTGTTAGGCATCATGGTATCACACCAACCTGTCTTCTGGCTTGCAATAAAATTTTTATGGCAACTCTTAGAAGGGCCCATTCCTGAAGTTTCTATGCATAAAAATAAAAAAAAGAATAGAGACCTTGAAACTACTTTAAAGCTTCTTAGTGCATATAACATCATTTTCTGCAGATTAACACTTGGGATTTATCATCCCCTAACAAATATAGCCAGTATAGCCATTAGGTTGTTTATTGAGTAACTAGCTCTATCATGAGATTGCCAAGACTTGCATAAATAGAATAAAAAATCTTCAGTTTTGTTTGTTTCAGAAAAAAAGATGACCAATTTGCCTCCATAGTTGATAATTCAGCCACTTCGAGGAGATGGGGACTTGAAAATAAAGCCTTAATAACATAATACCTTTCCAGAAACTTTAACAGATTGTCATGTTTAATATTTTATTTGACATTGATGGGTACTTAAGTAGGAGGGGGAACCCTACCTCAAAAGCTAGCTGTTGAAGTGGGGGAACCAACCCACTTATATACCCCATTGAGCATCCCATACTACTCAATGTGAGACTTGGTATCCCATACTACCAAGTCTCTATCAATTGGCTCTCCATGGAAAGCCGACGTCCCGACGGCTACACTTCACAGCACTTAACTCGGTCTCCTTCCGGTCAGAATCCTCTATGGGTAGCCCTTTCCGGAACCCCCGACAATGAGGCTTTGATACCAATTGATGGGTACCTAAGCAGGATGGAGAACCCTACCTCAAAAGCTAGCTGTTGAAGTGGGAGAACCAAACCACTTATATACCCTATTGAGCATCCCATACTACTCAATGTGAGACTTGGTATCCCATACTATCAAGTCTCTATCAATTGGCCTCCCATGGAAAGCCGACGTCCCGATTACTACATTCCACAGCACTTAACTCGGTCTCCTTTCGGTCAGAACCCTCTATGGGTAGCTCTTTCCGGAACCCCCGACAATGAGACTCTGATACCAATTGATGGGTATTTAAGCAGGATGGTGAACCCTACCTCAAAAGCTAGCTGTTGAAATGGGAGAACCAACCCACTTATCTACTTTATTGAACATCCCATACTACTCAATGTGAGACTTGGTATCTCATACTACCAAGTCTCTATCAAATGATAGAGCTGGTGATTCCCAAAAGATTTTCCTGTCATTTCCTAAGGCTTACAGTAGACAATCTAGGCAGGGAGGTGATTTAGAGAAGACTAAGACCAGTGGTCAAGAGATTTATTTGAAGGTTTATAACTGTAAGATTCAAATGATAAAAGAAAAGTCAGGTTAGGTGTAGCCTGGGATATGGGTAGTGTCAGTAGGGGTAATGACTACTTTTTGACTCTTTAAATATGTACTTCAGTGATGAGGGATGAAGAGGGACTATTGGAGAATTGTGGTCAAGTGAGGAGAGTTCTGGCCTCTTGAATGCCAGATTAGGGGTGGAGAAGATCATCTTTTCTTCATCATTTTATCTTTCTACTTCAGTTTGTATTTGTGAGAGACCAGTGTTCGTGTTGCTGCTTAGAGGGTATAGTTTATGTTGTTTCATGCTCTGTAATTGCCATCTCAGTGTAGTTTCAGTCTTTATTTTGATTGTAATCCCACTCTATTGTTCAGCAATAGTAATTGCTGGTTACACTTACAGTGTATTTTCTGGTTTTGCTTATTTTTAAGCTTAATAGAGTAGAGGGTTCCATCAGACATCTTATGGTGGAAATGAGCATGCCATGTAGTTTAACTAAGAAACACATTCCTAAAGCCAATTATTTTTCTTTTTGCCCAAAATGCTTTTGGTCATTTATGGTAAACGTCCCTTACATTGACCATCTGTTCATCTGCAACAGGTTGAATTCAAGAGAATTACTTCTCCCTTGAAGTATCAGACAAGGTGCCTTGCTGCATTTCCTGATCAACAAGGTTTCCTGGTAAGCTTTCTATATATATTTTTGTGGCTCCTTTTCAATATCTGGGAAGACTTAAGTTTTAATTCACTTCCCCTTTTTCCCATTTAGTATCTGTTGAAAAACTTTATGTTTCTTGAATATTTCATGTATATATTTATTTATTCAAAGATGTGCTAAATGTACAACTCTGTTACAAATAAATAGGCAGGCATGAACTAGAGGACTGGGCCCCAAAGGGAAATTTAACACCTATACTAGGACCGTACATATGAAAGTGAATTGAAAAATGGGAGTTGACTATCCTAAATAAGGCAACTATCTGTTGACAGCCCAGTGCCAATTGTGGCTGTGGTCACACTATGATTTGTGTGGTTGTCTCCCTTGTGGCCGTGTCCTCATGTTTAAGTTAATTTTTGATATAGGAATGATATGATGGTTTCGTTTTGCCAACAATGGTTATTGAGGACCTGATTTCTACATATTTCATTGTCGCATAGGGAGTTTATTCCATCTGCTATACTTTCAAGTCAGCTAGGTTACTCTTTTTGAGTGATTTTCATTGTTTGCCGTTTTTACGTTGTCATACTATTCAGAAAACTGATTTGTATATTGCTTTTTCCAAATTTTGAGTTAGCAAAGGCTATACTTGAGATAATTTGAGATTTTTTTCAGCTGGTTTTATGCTAATTTGAGATATTAAGGTAGTTTTGGCATTTTAGCTAAACTGTGGGAATTTCAACAAAAGAATGCATTTACAAAAGCTGAAAAGGCCTATGATTTTTCTATTCAAATACTGAAGCGATAATAATTTTATAATTTCTAGATAGGCGAGTGTTGGGTTAGTAATGAAACTTGGATCTTATCCACCTAAAAAGATGCTTAAGTATTCAAATACTTCCAAACCTGCAGTGAAAGGGGGTATATAATTTATTTTCTTCTCCTGGTTTTCCGTCTTTTTAAAGCTTGAAGTTTTCATATTATCTTTTGTCTTGGTTCATCCTAGGAAGCACCCCTTTAATGCTTAAAATATTCTGTAATCTCCAATATACGAGTGTGATTTCTAAAGGTCTTTATTTTCATGATTTTCTTTCCTGAGTATCTTGTAAGAGTAGATTGATTGAGACTGAACTTGAATCTGATGGCCATTGCAGGTTGGATCAATCGAAGGGAGAGTCGGGGTGCATCATTTGGATGATAGCCAACAGAGTAAAAACTTTACTTTCAAATGCCACAGAGAGGGCAATGAGATATACTCAGTCAACTCTTTAAACTTCCATCCTGTAAGATTTTGCTTTACGTCAGTCTCTCTCTTTTTACTTTTAAGTTGATTATCAATAAACAATATGCATGCCGAATTGTCATGAGTCCTTTAAATGGTGAAATGTCATTATCATCTTTCCATTTTAGTTAGAAACATCCATCCATCTGTATTACAAAGGGAAATGTTGAACATCACTCTATGCTTCAACACATTTAAGGGCAGGAGGAGTCCTTTTAAATATGAGCATTTCTTTCTTCCCCACAAAATTTTTTCTTTCTTTCTTCCCTCCCTTTTTTGTTGTTTTTTTTTTAAATCATCATCAATCTCTTAATATGAATCAACAAAATCTGCTCGGAAGTTCCTGGGCAAACATCTCTGCTGCTCAAGTACTCCTAACAAATTATTCCAGAAAAATCAGTTTCTTGGCAGTAAAGTAACTCTCTGAAAAGAAGAGACAAAAGTGTTTGGGCCTTCTAATTTTGCTATCTATCAATTTTATTGAGTAATGCAGTCTGGATAAATAATGGTCTTGAGGAAACTTAGAATTCGCTATCAGTTTGTTTATCATTGCATTTGTTACAGGTACATCATACATTTGCAACTGCGGGTTCTGATGGAGCTTTTAACTTTTGGGACAAGGACAGTAAACAGAGACTTAAGGTTCTTCCAATGCCTTCATTCAATTTTAATTAGTATACTTATTTTCCAATAACAAATCAAATGCATGACCTGTATATAGATCAGTGTTGTTAAAGGTGAAAGGCATAAAGCCTGTAAAATGCCTTAGGCACAAGGCGCTAGAAAGGCATGTGCCTGAATGAAGCAAGGCGCTACTATGTGAACATGCAACATATATAGCCAACTAACCATAGATAAAATGATAAATATAAATTTATTTAAAACTTCATATATTGTGTTCTCTTATCATAATTAAAAATTCAATAAAAATAATTTTTTATAATAAATTAAAATCTTTTCTATTCTGTAATTGTTTTCTCTTGTTTAAAATTTAAATCTTTCCTATTTTCTTGTGATATAAGTTTCTTTATTTTTAATATCATATAATTTATATCATATAATCACTTTCTATATTTTATATCATATTTATTAAAATATGGTATAAAATATTGAAATACCCACTATCCAGTCACGATCATGAGTCACGAATCCATGGATGAATCTTCTTCTATTTTTATAAAAGTCATGACTCATGATTGCAATGCCCAGTCAGTCACGCAATACCCAGTCCGTGGATGAATCGTCTTTCTTCTATTCCCAGCCAGCGTCCTTCCTTGTCTTCTCTTCTGCAATACACAGTCCCAGTTGTCATCTTCCCTTCTCCAATACCCAGTCCCTTTGATCTCGATCTTCTCTTCTCTACTGCTTCAAGGCGCTATTAGGCGAGCGCCTTTTGGTCATGCAAAGCACACAAGGCGCTCTTAGGCGAGCACTTGACTAAACCCATCACCTCTCTTCATTGAGAGGCGATAGCCATGTTCAGCGCCTCACCTTTGCACCTTAGGTGCTGAGGCGAGCGCCTTTAAAAGCATTGATATATAGACATAATAGCATATAAGCCTATTTGGTCTTTGCATTCTCTCATCCCATCTTTTGATTCCATATATGTTGTAGTGGTGTTTTTGGGTGTAATCAAGTGTGCTTTATACTTTGAGAGAATAATAAGTAAGGATTTTGTAAGAATATTAATTGCTGAATCAAGAGCTTTAATACTGAAATATGGGAAAAAAAGTACTGAATTTGAGAATTTTAGTGGTGAAGAAATCTTAATTTGACATTAATGTTCTTATGGGGTCCTTACTTGTCATTCTCCCTAATACTTTCCCAATTTTATTACAATCTTTTCTAATTTCAGGCCATGTTAAGGTGCAGTCAACCTATTCCTTGCAGTACTTTCAACAATGATGGTTCAATCTTTGCTTACTCGGTACATACCTGTTTCTGCACTAGTTTGCAGTTCTATGAAATAAATTTAGGCGCCCTCTTTGCATCACATTAAAATACATTTAGTTGGAAGCATTGAGAATCAGGAATTTAACTGCCTTTTTCTTTCAATCAGTAGTGAGGGTACCTTGAAAATCTCCTCCGCAGAGTATTGGAGAGTGGGTGCAAAAATGCCAGAGAAGAGAATCGTCTGGAACTTTCGAAATAAGATAGAAAAAAAAGTGAAAAAAATGTAGGTAATATTCCCAAAAATAATGAAGGAATGTAAGAAGATAGCAAGAAAGGAGAGTTAATTATTGGTTCTTCGTAATTAACTTGTCTGTCAATGTCATATAACAAAGAAAAGTTATACATTGTTGCTTTGGCAATGGACAAGGGAGGGTCATAAGAGGTTGTAAGTGATGTGTTGACGTCCTTGTTCTGCTATGATTGAAAGTGTATATTGCGCAGTTTACTCACCAGTTTTGTTATTGTAGACTCATCTTGCGTAACAAAAATTTCTTTATGAAGAGCCATAAAAAAAAGAAAGAAAAAATTTCTTAATGAATGTTGTTAAACCTTGTGCAAATGGTATGCTGATATGATATCCTTGTTCATAGGTCTGCTATGACTGGAGTAAAGGGGCTGAAAATCATAATCCTGCAACAGCGAAGACTTACATTTTACTGCACTTGCCACAGGTATTCGGTTTGGTTGATAAAAAAAAAGAAAAAAGGTTCTTTAATAGCTTTTGACGACATGCAAATGTGATATGCTTCTGCAATGCAGGAATCTGAGGTCAAGGGCAAACCTCGACTTGGAACTACTGGTAGAAAGTAGAGATTATACTGGTGTAGAATGGGGGGCATGGTCTCGACTTTCTGTTTACTTGTTTAGTTCTTCATTCTAGATATGTATATTACTAAGCTTTGGATCCTCTCAAATGATATGATGGTCATGTGATGTGAGCAGAAAAATGGATGCACGATAATTTATGACAAGCAAGGCAAGACATTTGATTTCTTTCTTCCACACGACGCATCATGTTGCTGTGGGAGGATCCAAATCGTATTGGTTAATAATTTGGTAGTTTTATGATCGGGCATGGTTTTAGTTTCTACTGCGGGAAGGCATCTGTAATTAGATTATGATTGCTTCAGGTAGAGATTGCAGAATTGTAACACATTTGATGCTTTAAGATGTATATATTTTTTTGTTTCATATTTAGCTCGAGTTCGTGATATGATATGAAGGATTTAGTCAAACAATTTTAATTGTGATGAGTGAGAATGTTTGTAAGTGCTTTATCATCAAATTTGGTTTATCCTATAATAATAATCGTGTCTTTTAGCTGATGCGAAGGCCTTACGTTTTATTCGTCCATCTTTCTCCTGGTGACTTTCTATCCACCTCCATTCTGTTTCATTGCTAACAAGTATCATTTTATTAGAGTCAATTGTTTAAGGTACAGTTGTGTGCTAAATGTAGGTACTTTTCTCAACAAAGACTTGTTATGCATATCTATTCTAGTATTTTTTTTTTGGAGAATTTCAAAATAGGTTTTTTTTTTTTTTAAATTGCTCGTAGGTATTTTCTTATTGAAAACAGTTAAGATATAATTGGATACGTCTAAATTAGTCAAATGCTAATTAAAGAGGCTTTTGGTGAAAATTTAAGGACTTGTTTGATTAGTTTATTTTATTAAAAATACTTATTTTTTCTAAAATTATTTTATGAGTTTTTATTAGAGCTGTCAATTAGGGCCAGCCCGGCCCTAAAGGGCCAGCCCTTGAAGGGTCAGGGTCTAAACGGGTTGGCCCTAATAAGCCCGATTACATGTCAGGGTTTCATTTTTAAGGTCCGGCTTTAGCCCTCAGGGCCTCGGCCCTATTTTTTTAAAATTATTTTTTCAATTAAAAATTATAAAATATATATTTATAATCATAAAAAAAGTTATTATTCATAAAATTAAGTTTAAGAAAATAAATTTAAATTAATTTACACCACAACAATAAAGAAAATTAAAATATTTAGGTTTAATATCAAATAGCAACATCAAAGTGAATACCAATAAAAATTAAACTTAGCTAATATTATCATAATAAATAAATGAGGGATGGATGAATGCATTTAATATGTTCATTTCTTTGAATTATGTATTTAATCTTTTATTTTTTTATATTATAATTTAAAAAAAATTATAAACGGGCCTACCAGGGCCGGCCTTTTTATTTTCGGGCCTAAAAGGGCCAGCCCTTTTAGGCCCGATTTACATTTTTAAAGGTAAAATAGAAGCCCGGCCCTCAATTTTTTCGAGCCTAAAAGGGCCGACCGTACGAGCTCGGCCCTAATTGACGGCTCTAGTTTTTATAGTATTTGTTTAAATTTTTGAAAATAATTAAAATTAAAAAAAGCATATTTTTAATTATTTTAAGAAGTTACTTTGAGTAGTTTCTTAGAGTAGTTTAATGTAGTAGATAAGAGAGTATTTTAAAGAAGTGTGAGATATTATAAAATTTTAAGAATAATATAATAATAAATTATTTCTATAAAAAAAATTAAGAAATACATTATAAAATTTATAAATAACTAATTAGTAATCACTTTTTTGTCATAAAAATCAAACACAAAATAATATTTATTTTTATAAAATCTATAAATAAATTTTTCTATAAAATTTTTAAATTATTTATTTTTTAATTTTAAACAAGTGAGTCTTAAATCTTAATGAAGATAAAAAAAAATGTAGAAAAATAGAAAAATAAAAATATGATGAATCAATCAAAGAGACTAAGATCGAAGCTAATTTGGTGGGCGAAGCCATTGGGCTTTTGATGGCCCAAATATTCGCCCATAGGTTTTTGTTTGTTTTTTAAATGATGGCTTGTAATTTATTATAAGTTGCATTTATTTATTTAAGAAAATATAATTATTAATTCTTATATTTTTATTGAATTTTACTTTTAGTCCTTATTCTTTTTCAGTGTTTCAATCTTTATAGGGATTGAAAAAACTAAAAACACCAAAATTATAAATATCTGAATAACGAATGTTATCCAATCTTGTTGAAATGATAGGGATTGAAAATATTGAAAAAAAAATTATAAGAACTAAAAAAAAATTTGATAAAATTATAGAAATTGATGATTGTGTTTTCCATATATATTTTTGCATAGGTTAAGAAATTCAGTTCAAATTAGTTTTTTTTTTGGCCGAAAGTTAAGCTTTTAAATTTCAAAATTACCTTCGATGACTCACTCTCTTCGATGAAGTTTATTAATTAAACAATATTTCTTAGTTTGTTAAGAGTTTGCTTAGTAGGAAATATAAAAAAGAAAACAAAGGATATTTAAGAGGAAAGAAAGGTCTTGTATTAAAAAACACGAGGAACGTTCTCATAAAAAGATTGGAGAGAGCATAGTTTCCTACACGTGTTGATGGGAAATTAATGTAGATGTATAGAGAATTCATGTAGATTGTAGACTGGTTAAAAATCAGCCATTAAACATGCACCTATTTCCCACACCGTAGGAAGGTGTTGAAACTTAAAAGCCACTTTCACATGGTATCTGAGCATATCCCTCGAGAATTTCTGCATTTCGGTTAGTGAGGTTGAGGAGCAGGAAGTATTTTGGTTTAGGAGTACTTGGATGCTTTGATTGTGAGATTTTTCGGAGCTGTCAATGCTGATGGTTCAAAGACATAAACTTTGAACTTAGACCATCAATTAGAAGCCTTTCCTTTCTGCTAGTACAATTTATAATCTGTCAGTGTCAGAGATTATAAAAAGGGAGAATGGCATTGTAAGCCTTAAAAACAGAGAAAATTGCACTGTAGGTCTAAAAAATTCTGGCAATGTACCGCAGGTTTAAGGACGCTTTTTGCACTTTTTTTTGAAAGTAAAAGTATAATTTTGCCCTTAATTAAAATGAAAGAAACAAACTGAAAGTGATGAAATGATTAACTTGATACACATGGATATTTAGTTGAGAATTTATAAATATTGTGTTGTGTATTCATGGACATTGTGTTAATAATTTATAAATATTGTATTATGCATTTATGGACATTGTATTATACATTGTCTGCATAATTTGTACATTTTTTTAAACTTATAGATTAATTTGACATGCATGGACATTTAATTTAGAATGCATAAACATCGTGCTGTACATCTATAAAAATTGTATTGTACATTGTCTGCATAACTTGTACATTTTATTAAACTTATTGATCAATTGAATACACATGGATATTATATTGAGCATTTATAAACATTATATCTATACACCTATTGACATTGTATTATACATATTCTGTGTGACTTATATATTTTAATTAACCTATAGATTCATTGGATACGTATGGATATTATGTTAAGAATTTATGAATATCGTGTTGAGAATACATGATCATCATGTTGTGCTTCTTGAATAAGAGTTTTATGCTAGTTTTGAGTTTTCAAATCATACAGTACTTTCGTGCCTAAGAAAAATTACAAAAAAAGTCCCTGAATCTACCTTGCATTATCAAAATTTATTAGATTTAAAGTGTAATTTTTTATTTTTTAAGGGCCTGTAGTGTGATTTTTTCTATAAAAAAAAGAAAAAAAAAATACAAAAGTACATCTTGTACTTTGATTGTGCATTTTATTTTTAGTTTCTAATTTTATTTTATCATTCTCAATTCTTTTAGTTTGAGCCATGTGTAATAGTAGCTCGTATTTTGAAAATGCACACGAGGACCATGGTATGACATTGATTAAATTTAATTTTATTGACATATACTTAATTCTGTTAAACCTTTTGTTAACGTGCACTTAGGGTTTGTTTGTTTTTTATTTTTAAAATTATTTTTTGTTTTTGAAAATATAAAGATTCAAAAACTTGTTTAGTTAAGTGTTTTCAATTTAATTGTTTCTAAATGTTTTTATTTTTTATTTTTTTAAAATAGAAGCAACCCCAAGTTGTTTTCATTTTAATTTTCTTCTTTTTGGAATACATTACAATTACTTTAATTAATTTTTATCATAAATCGCCACCATTAACCTCCTATGATTATCACTATCAATTTATTTTTTAATTCTAATTTTTTTAAATTAACATAACAAAACGGATTTTAATTTTATTTTGTTTTAAAAACAATTTTAAAAGTTGTACTACAAACCAGTGTTTAAAAATAAAAAATATGAAAATAAAAACCAAACAAGCCCTTAATCTCTTAATTTCCTCGGTCGCATTCTATTTAATCTAAGTATACAATGAATCTTTTTTTAAGTCCCCTTACCTTTTATTTTTAATTATACCTAGTCAATTTATTTTTATGCCGGCATATTTTTATTGTGTTAGCAAAGGATATATAGAGTTACAGTGAAATTAACTTTATCAATACCAGCTCATGACCGTTATATGCATTTTAAAATTACAGAGATTAAAAGTTTTAGACAAATCAAACAAAAGGGACTAAAAATAATAAAATAAATATTGGGACTAAAAACGAACATAGTCAAAAGTATATGGATCTATGGTTGCATTTTTTATAAATAATAACCTTTAAAGTTTGGTCCTTGTAAATAAAAAAAAAGATAGTTTTAGGGTTTTTTTTAGTATGTCACATTTTATTATATTATTCATTCATGTATTATTTTCATTTCTGTTGAATATCAAAGTATAGAATTTCTTTCTATCTAATACCAAACTATAAACATTTTTTTAGGAATGAGATTTGTGAATAATGCATTTTATCATAGATTTTGTTATATATCGATAATAGATATTTCAATAAAAATTAATTAACAAAAAACTCAGTGTTTTAAAGTATGGCGATTATGTAATTTAAGCAAATTTTAAAAATGTAAAAAAAAATAATAATAATAATTAACATAATAAGAGAGTGCTTTCCATACGTGGATAGATGTATATATCACTCATTTGTTATAAACTCAGAATTATTGTTCAATTGTGCCCATTACACACGTTACGATTTTGGTCATTGCTGGGGAGCATGACACCGACGAAGATCACTGACATTGAAGTTAATTATTATTGTCATGATCACAGGTGTTTTACTTTTTTTTTTAATTAATTTTGATAGAGCATTAAGATAATGGTGGTGATGATCGCAAAACATCTTTAAAGATGTCAACTAAAAAGTTACTGGGATAAAAAAAGTCACTATATCATATAAAAAAATTAAAGCAAATGTAAACTTATATGATAGTTGGCTATTTAATTGCTATCAACTTTAAGGCACAGAATACGAGCTCATCATTGTCAAACGCAGTGTCTTATGGTATAATAACTTCAAAGACATTAT